GATATTAAGTCCTTTTGAGATTGCAACGCATGCAGTAAGTAAATATTCGCCCAGAGATTGAAAAAATGTGGTGAGTTTTAAATTTTATAAATTTTTTATCCTTAATTGTTCCTATGAAAATTCATAATTTTAGCAATTCCTTCACTATGAAAAACTATGATATTAAATATGTCCTAACACATCGATTGAAACTTTTTCTGACAAATAAAAAAAGTAGTAAATTAAATAAAAAATATACTATATATTTCTTTATTGAAGTATGCTAACATAAAGAATAAAAAATTTAATGTACGTTAGAACGTTAATCTTTGGTTTTACTAGGAAAAAAATCCTGGATTAGTGACAGCGCACTCGAATGTTCAAGAGTCGCCAGGATTAGAGCAAGAATATATATTAGCGAGTGCCATGAAATATGCAAATTTAGGCAACATAAAAATAGAAGATGCTGCTGAAAGTCATGCATGATAATAATTTTGATACAGAAAGCAGTGCTTCATCAAGCAGCATTATCTTTCTAGCATCGGAAAAAGAAGAATCGGAAAAGGATGGCTTGATCTACATTGCTGGATTTTTAGCAAAAAAGCTCAAGGCAAAGTACCCCACTTTGGGAAAGTATACTCATGAAACCAAAAAAGCTATTAACTTTCATAGCTCTACAAGATGCCTTTTTATACAAAATTTATCCTATGGTGGTTTAATAGAACCCTCAGAAGAATGGAAGCAACAATGATTTAAAATGGACAAATATTTTCAAAAGTTTCATAAACAATCTTTCATTGAGAAAAATGAAGTTGTGAAAAAAACTTCCGATTACACAGGTCAACATTTTATCTAGGCATGTGCACGGGAATCGACGATGAAATTCTAGGGTTTTTGGGGTCGCTGATTACAATGAGCGGGTCGGTTATGGTCCATCACGTCAAGTTCAAGGTCATTTGAAGGTCAAATGGTCAAAAGCTTCCAAAAATCTGAAAAAATTCATGGACATGTTTTTGAGGTCGCTGAATCTGAATCCGGTGTTTATTTTTACTTTGCATGCATCCTCGAGGTCATTTAAGGTCATCTCAAGGTCATTTGAGGGGGTTTTGAGACAAAAAGACCATCCGAAAAATCTGAAAAAATTCATACGTATGTTTTCGAGGAATCCCTGAATCTGAATCTGAGATTAGTCGACGTCATTTCAAGGTCATTTGAAGGTCAAATGGTCAAAAAACCTTCCAAAAATCTGAAAAAATTCATGGTCATGTTTTTGAGGTCGCTGAATCAGAATCCGGTGTTTATTTTTACTTTGCATGCATCCTCGAGGTCATTCAAGGCCATCTCAAGGCAAGTATTCTAGTTCTGTGGCACAATTGTGCATTTCGCAGATTGAGATTGTTACCATGTTATGTGTTATGTATTAATGAGATTTATACCAGAAAAGATTCTTTGAAAAATGACTGTAGAATCCACGTAAAAAAGTAGAATCCAGGCTGTCTATCTGACTATAAGAATTGTCCAAAGAATTTTATGTGGCTCAAATTATCGAATTGACCACGACTAACTAAAACTTGTGGTTGCACCCAGGGCACTTCCACGTGGTGATGGTGGGCAACGGAGTTGTCCCACTATTCGGCAAAGTCCCTGGGTTATGCCATGCCGTCATGGCAACCACAAGTAAAAGTGGCTAAAACTTGGCCCTTGGAGAGTCAAATGCTACAAGTTCAAGATTTTGTAAAAATGACGTTAACAGCTTTTGTATTGTTTGCGGACTGCATACACCCAAAAACAAATTTAATTTTTCAGATGCATTAAAGAATATATAAAAGCACATTTAATATTGTGACTGATTCTGTGAGCAATTCTTACACACCAAATATCATCTGTGGTAAATGTCGTCATATTGTCAACGGAACAAGGAAAAAAATATATTTTTCACCTACGAAACGGAGAAATCCATCAGACCATACGACCGATTGCTATTTTTGCTTAATCAACCTGAAAGGTTATAACTATAATAGCAGGCAATTTATAACATATCCATGCGTAGAATGTGTAACATTTCCCACATACATAGAAACGATCGTAGCATGGATATAAGTGAAGAGAATGTTCAAGATTCCGCTGAACCTGGTGACGATCGTAGCATGGATATGAGTGAAGAGAATGTTCAAGATTCCGATGATATAGAAATTAGGGGATGAGGGTGAAAAAGTGTAAATATATAACGTTTTTCTCTAAATGTTAGGTTTCCATTTAAATTCTATGTACAATTTTAAATTTGTGTTCATTACTTGGTAAATATATAGATATATGAAAAAAAACTAGTCAGATAGACAGCATGGATTCTACTTTTTTACCTGGATTCTGCACTTTCCAAAGAACCTTTTCTGGTATAAATCTCATTAATGCATAACATGGTAACAATCTCAATGTGCGAAATGCTCAATTGTGCCACAGAACTAGAATACCTGCCTTGACCTTGAATGGCCTCGAAGATGCATGCAAAGTAAAAATAAACACCGGATTCGGATTCAGCGACCTCAAAAACATTTTTGGAAGGTTTTTTGACCGTTTGACCTTCAAATGACCTTGAACTTAACGTGATGGAGCCTAACCGACCCGCTCGTCGTAATCAGCGACCCCAAAAACACTAGGATACCATCTTCGATTCCCGTGCACAAGCCTAGATAAAATGTTGACCTGTGTTATATATCAAGTAAATTAGAGGACATATCTAAAGACTTGGTAAAACATTTCAGTCAACAAAGAATATTTGTCCGAATAAAATATCTAAATGTAAAACAAGAGAAACAAAAAAAGAGGAAGGCATCCTTAGATGATCAGAAAGGAAACATCTTTTAAAAAATTGAAAAAGATAGTAAATTAAATAAACGTTATTAAACTAATGATTTTTTCTTGTACAGTCCTAATGTTATGAAATGAACTAAAATAAACAATATACAGTGAAAATTCAAAATTAATGTTCTGCTTATTAAAAAAATTATGGGTTTTACTTTAAAGAGAAGCCAACTTCAGTAGTTATTATAATGTGCCCATTAGGCTAAAGCAAAAAATATTTATATATGCACTTCGTTTCAGAAAATTCCGCAATGGATTATTCAAAAAGATAGTTATGTGTTAAACTGTAAACGTAAATACCTGCTTGATAACTTATTCATATTGCGATGAAAGGTATGTACGTATATAAAATTTTTCTTGGTTTATTTATTTTAAATTTACATAAATTAACCAGTTTCTGCAATGAAATATAGCTTTCCCTAAATTAAATTGTGTTATAAACTTAAACCCTTACAACAGTAGTATTGTGTTACCATAAAATTGTTATTACATCTGGATTTTTAAATGAGCTAATGGGCTTCACAATACTATATTCAAAATGTGGCACGCAGGCTGACGTCATCCCCGCGTTTTTCTGCTCGCCTCTCATTGGTCTAAAGTTACCACGCAACCTGTCTCTCTATAAACGTTGCTTGAACGTTGCGTTGTTTAGTGACAAAAATTCCGCAATTACGTGCGTATCCTTGTGGAGATAACGCAGTATCGGTGTGAGAGACCAACGTTACCGGTTACGTTATGTTTGATAGTGAGTATTTTTTTTATTTGTAGTAGTCTTTTTAGTTATAAACCATATATTTAGATACTCCTTTGTGAAAATGGATTATGAAGCAGAGCAGGCAAGGCTACAGCGGCTCTTTGATGAAGTTTCTACCCGAGCCAGATGATGACGACTCAAGTTTACCAGATGAACAAGTAGAAGCAGTCAAACTCGGTATGTGTGGTTGTATCGTAGGTTAATTTATCAGTTTTCCGCTGTGCATCGAGCATGATAGTTGAAAAATATGAGCCATCAATTTATTAAAGACTTCATTAAAATATACGAAAGTGAGCCTTGCCTTTGGCAAACAAAATGTAAGGAATACCACGAAAGGAATAAAAAAGATGCAGCTTACGCAAGATTGCTAGAAAAACTGAAAGAGATTGAGCCGAATGCTACAAAAGATGATGTCATTAAAAAAATAAATAACCTGAGAAGTGCCTACAGAAAAGAAAAAAAAAACGTAAGGACTCTTTGAAGTCAGGAGCGTCAACTGATGACGTACACAGGCCGAAGCTGTGGTACTTTGGGATGTTAAGGTAAGCTTTTTGCTGCATGAGTGTTTCGTCATCGTTTTAGCTCGCGACAGAGTTGAGTGCTTATTGTATTTTTATTTAGTTTTCTAGGTGATCAAGATATCCCTCGAACTAACCGTTCAAACTTGGACAGTTATAATGATGATGATAATATACAAAACAATAATAGCGAAACCCAGTTAAATTTTTTAAAAAAAGTTCACAAATCAGTTATATTTTTAAAATTATATACTACGTCAATTGACTTTAAGGGGGGACGTTCACAATATCGAAATACATTCTATCGAAAAGACAGTTCGATATTTTCATTTTCCATAAAACGTGCTCGATTTTTCGATAGAATGTAATTCGATATTGTGAACATCACCCGATTTTAAGAACATCGCAATGTAATAACTGCATCTATCTAAATAACACACGCGAAGCCCAGAGTTTTAAATGAAGTTGAGTTGCCAAGGTACTTGGCCTTCATTGGCAAAATAGTTCATGAAATCTTCCCACTCTTTTTTGCCGCACGAGCCATGTTTTCTGGACTGTTTCAGTTTAAGCCACATACGTATACATTATTTGCCTCATATTCTGAAGTAGCTGAACCTTTATCTGTATTTTCGCTGTCGAACATTCTGAAGGGGCATAACAGCTGGACCGTGTTTTCATTAAATAATTGTGCAGTATACAGCAGGCCATTACGACATCTTCAATATTTTTTGTTTTCACGTTAATTGCCGTGTGAAATATTCGGAACCGTGCGATCATAATAAAAATAAAGGCGATTTTTTAAGGTGCCAATCATTAAGGAGGTGGCTCCTTTTAATTGGCTCCTGGCTCCTTGGAGGTTCCTTTTAATTGGTGGACCCTGTATTATATTGCATGGCAAAAAACAGTATACGAGTAATATCAAAAATGTTGTATTAATGGATAACTTCGATGATGTATGACTTTGTTTCAGGAACATTTAGGCGAATTATCGCAAAACAATAAAGAAACCCAATGTACTTTTCCTTATGAAGAAATATCATCGGAACCACTAGTAGGAAGTTCTGCACCTCGCTCTCACCGACGAAGCAAAGGAAGGGTTCAAACATTAGAACAACAAGTTTTGGAAAATGAGATATTGCTATCGGTGAAAGACTATTTTAGAAAGCCCCGACTTGAGGAAGACCGGTTTGACATTATTGGAAAAACCATTGCCGTAAAATTACGAAGGCTTCCAAAAGAGCAAATGCTCATTGCCGAAAAGATAGTTAGTGACACTTTGTTTCAAGCTGAAATGGGCCATTTAACCATGACCCATAAACTTGTTAATAAGGCTAAACCTCAACGTCTATTCGGCCGCAGTAGAATAGCTGTGCCGATTCTGCTCCACAATTCAAGATGGCGACTGGAGCAGGATCAGCATAGCTTTCAGCCGGCTACGTCACATCGGCTGACGCCTGCGCCGTAGAGGTTGATGACCGTTCGTGCTGACTAGAAGTATTATTTATGTATGGATCTATTAATATTAGTAGGGTTGTTGTTGATTTTTTAGCATTTCTTCTGATACAATGAGTGGTCAAAAGCGGGTTGTGTATAACTTGGATAATAATAAAACTTATATACTTATGGACCTTATGGCTGGTTTGAAAAGGCAAGAAAACCAAAATGGATGGAATTGATCAGTGATAGAGCTCACTTTCAGAAAAGAATTAACGATGTATGATTTACTATAAGTAGTATTTTAGATAATAATCATCGATCGCGTATTTACTATGAACGATTTTGTTAACATATTTCTAACTATAAAATAAAGTTTTATACTCATATTTGTGTATTATTTTGAGGATACCTAACCTGTCTGGTGTGTGTGCTGGTATAAAAGTAGGTGACTTTAGATTTCTTCAATCATTATTACATTAGAATTGTGCTGAACAGTTTTATTTATTGATTGCAATATGCCTGTTCCAGTAAAGTATAAGTGCATCAAATGCGGAGGAGATTGCGACCTACCAAACAGAAAATGTTTCCCATGTGAAACTAAGGATTATTTTAAGGATGCAGATGGATCGAAGCATGTTCCTAGTTCTTACTTTGATAAAAATAATTCCAAGTAACTGTTGTTGCTAGTGCGTCTAATGTTATAATGTTTT